AATAATTTTAATTTTATTTAATAATTTTTTTAGTTTTAGTTATTTTAGTACATCAATTAAACTAAATGAAAATGAGAAATATTCCCTTCTAAACTAACTGAAATAAAATAAGTTTTAATAAGTTATAGTATATATATAAATATATATATATATATATATATATACACACACACAGTATATATACATCATTAATCACTTTCATTTCTGAGAACTTGTGTTCCATTCTTAAACAGTTTCAGTAACTTTGAACATGATTTTATATATATATATATATTTTTTTTTTTTTCAGTTAACATTTATTTTATTTCCGTAATGAATATATGTTTATGGTTTTAGCTTCAGTTTAATAATCCGGTTAGACAGAACCAGAGCTGTTGCACCTCATGTTGTTCTTTATGTGCACATGAAATACATGCATCATGTCTATAAGTCCATAATTTCACTGTGCTCCGTTATTAGCTTGGCAGATCTTCCTTTTGTTGTTGGTGAGAATGAGAGTGTCTGCTGAACTCATCATTACAGTCATCAGAGAAACGTCTTGCAGTTCACAAAAAAGTCACAGCAAATTAATGTGACAGACACCTCGACACAACTGTGTGCGCTTTAATTGGAAACACAAATCAATTAATGTGTTAAATTAAAGATTGATCTAATTGGAAGAGAACACTGCTTAAATAATTACCACTGTTTGTGTTTTGTACTCTTCCTTGCAAACCAATTAAACTAATGTTTTAATTTCTTTAATTTTATCATTTCTGAATTAATTGCTGCTTGAGTGCCTCACAGGGCTTTCAGTTTAATGTGTTCTACTGCCAATATGAATAAAACATCAACACAAAAGGTGGAAGCATAGGGCTCTTCTGAATGTGCACGTCTATTTCATAGACACCGGGGCTAGTTGTCACACTGATTTGACTCCAGTGAAGGTGGGTTTGATTTTGGAAGTCAGTTTTGGTACAGATACAAACCTTAATGCCTTGATTATAAAAAACAAAACAAAAAAACATTAACATTTAACATGTAACATTTCCATATTGAACATGTAATGGGGCATGTTGTCACACTATGTACAGTATATAGTAGGTTGTCAGCAGAGGTGATGCAATTCTCGGACCGCTAATATTTTTAAAAGAACCATTTCAAAGAAGCACTTAACAATTTCCTTGTTCATTAGATACAAATTACTTTATTACTCAAAGTTAAATGTATAATTAAAGGACTAAAGGTGTTAGTATCAGAAAAATTATGAAATTTAGTTTTTGTTTTCTCAGAATGTGCTGTTTTTTTGATTGGCTGCAGGTGGCCATTTTTGTTAATTTTATGACTGATTTTTCATCACTTGATATGCACTCATCCTGAAGAGCATACACATCAAAGGAAATTTTCCTTGATCAAACTGTTGCAGAGTTAAGACTGCTTTTTAGTTGTAGGTTTTGATGCAACTTGGTGTGCATCATTAGAATGACCAGCTGTTTGTTAAGTTTTTGATGTTGCATTGAGCAGATATTGACCAAACGGTTTCATTGGCTTGTATTTTCGCAACACTTTGCTAAATAAAAATTCCTATGATATCTTTTTGTCGTGAGGGTCTTGGGACGATGTGTGCCAAGCTTCATACGGATTAAACCAACAGCCTATATGAGTTTTAAAAAAATACTTTTTCAGGTTTTATTTATTTATTTATTTATTTTCCAGAAAATCCCAAATGGATGAAAAATATCCCAGTAGTAAACTGAAAAAAATATATATAGAAATTAATTATTGTGGGGTTCAGAGGGAAAAAAACGTCTCAGGTTACTTATGTAACCATGGTTCCCTGAGTAGGGAACGAGACACTGCGTCCTCTAGGGGTCGCTATGGGGAACGCCTCGTCATGACCCGTGTCTGAAGCATACATTGAAAAAACACCATCAACACGTTGGCCGGCGACAGCCATGACGTCACTACCGGCGCGAAAGGACCCCTGGGTTGTTCAGGCTCAGACCTGGACCTTCGTGAAGGCTTCTGAGCGCACCTTTGCCTCCCTGAACTTCTCGACCACCGTCTCAACGGAGGTATCAAAAAAAAATACGGAAGGCAAAACCGGCGCATCGAGAAGAAAGACCCTAAGTATAATTT